GGTGGACATGATGCCTTTATCTTTATTTGTTTATTTTTCTGTGGTGCTGAGGATTGAACCCAGGGCCTCACCCGCGCTAGGCAACTGCTCTGCCACGGAGCCACCACCCCAGCCCCCCACCCCATTGATTTTCGAGGGCCGCTGGGAACCTGTGGAAAGCCAGGGGAGGCTGAGGTCATGTTCTGAGGTCCTGGAGATCAGGATTTCAACATAGGAATTTGGGGGAAGACAATTTGGCCCCTGGCAGACGCGGTACTTAAGCTAGGACAGAGATGCTGGACATGGCTTTGAAGGCRAACCTTCGGGACAGGATTGGAGTGGGATCCCCTACCAGTCTAAGCCGCCCTCAGAGAAGGGGAGGAGGGGAAACACCGAGTCCTTGAGGTGCCCCGCACTGTCTCCAAGAACTGAGCCAAGTTAAGGGAACAGTGAGAGCCATCTGGGCCGCAGTGTCCAGACCCATATCATCTTGAAGGAACTGTCCTTCTCTTCGGCACGCAGGGAGCCGGGCAGGTGGTGTTATCTGTAGCAGCTGCTGGACCACATGCACCCCAGGGTCCTGGGGATGCTGGTCACACAGTGGGAGGAAGCAAGCCAAGCGGATGATGTCACTGCTTTTCTAACCTCATCTGTCAGTCCCTGGAGAGGGAAGCTCTGTCCCCTGGCCRCTGGGAAGAGTGATGTGAGGGACGGAGCTATTACTTCCTGGCCAAGCTCCAGAGACACCGCGAGGAACAGGACAAGTCTGTCCAGCCTGTCGCCGCTGGACCTTCCCCGTGAGCGTTTCTGCACACACCTGTGTCCGGCACCCCATCTCTGGGCATCGTCTCAGTCTCTCAGGACCCGTGCCTCTGCCCTAGCAAGGCTGGGCGGGGACAGTACAGTCAGACGGCAGGGAGGATCCCGATGCTGGGGAGGGCAGTGACAGTCCTCGATTGTTGCAGCTGTGCCCACTGGGAAGGGACACAGAAGGACGTGCCATGGCTCCAGCCCTGGACGGAGGCCTCGGCCCCACACGAACTCCTAGAGAAGGACATGTTGGCCCAGGCCAGCCTCCGGGCAACTCGCCCACTACATCGCTTGTTTTGGAAAACTGTGTTTTTCACCTTAGTTCATGTTTCCTCTTGTTTTTCACAGGATGGTGCTTAAAGGGTTCCTAATGTCCCCRGCCACAAGGCAGACTCCGCTGACCATCAGACCAGGATTTAGGCCTCAGGGTGGCAAAGCCACAGAGGAGACTGGACGCTCAGGCCCCACAGGCCTCTCGGCTCTGCTGAAGCCCTGACCGTGAGGGCGCGGAGGCCCGGGCCCAAGGCAGAAGCCCGTGGGGTGAAGGGCTGATGAGCTTGGCCACCAGCATCCTCCAGCGCTCTGAGCTGGCAGAAGGCCAAGCCCCTCAGCAGGTGGGAGCTGCCTATCCTTGCCTGGTGACCACCTTGTCCCCCAGGGTGATGGCGTCCTCCTCTCCTGCTCATCTCAGCCTAGGCCACGGTTGGGTGGGCTCCCTCTGTGCACCAGAAGGATGAGACCCCAGCAGGCGCCTGCAGAACAGAGGGAAGTGTTTAAGGAGGGCCAACGGGAGGACTGACAGTGGGCATGCTCCTGGGACGCGGGGTGTAGCGAGTGGGGACCTCTGGCGCCAGGCCTGACGTGCTGCCAAATCCACCAAGGCTGGGTGTGAGGACAGCACTGGAGGTGGGCTCTCTGCCACCACCTTCTTACACTGTCCCGACCGGCAGGACACATCAACATGGGCAGCGAACCTAGGTGGGGAGGAATGAAGGGACAAGAGACACGAAAGGTGACAGCAAGACAGGAGTTCTGATCAAGCTGCAAACTTTCATTGTTCACACAGGGGGATTCGTGGGCTGGGGATGGGGAAGCTCTCTTATCGGCAGTTGCTGGAAGTCTTCACAAGGTGAGATAACGCAGGATGTCTCAGGGAGATGGATGGCTGCAGGATGTCTCAGGGAGATGGATGACTGCAGGTGTCTCTTGTAACTGTCAGGCTATTCTCTGAAGGAGAACTCCCTTCTAGTCCCTGGCATTACACTTTTTATTTTGGGGGACTCAGGGGCGCTTTACCACTGAACCACATCCCTTTTTATTTTTGTTTTGAGACATGGTCTCCTAAATGGCCAAGGCTGGCCTTGAACTTGCAGTCCTGTCTCGGCCTCCCAAGTGCTGGGATGACAGGTGTCCGTCCTGTACCCACCTCTGACTCTGCTGTTTGATTGCTCAGAGCTCTCAGCCCCACATCTGGAAGAGCCGATAAGAACATGTGGGTGCACCCTGTTTGGCACTGGGGGAGATTCCTGTGGGTACATGTGGGCCCACCTTCTGGCCACAGCAAACGCCCTGGCCAACCCCTATGCTGACCGCTGGCAAGGCTGGCCCTGCGCTCCCCAGGTTCTCAAGTACGGCCATGACCCGCACTGTCATGCCCCCTGTGAGGGTGACATCCTTCATCTCCACATTTTGGAAGGGTTCCACCTGCCCCTGGAGGGGACCATGGATGCCAAACAGACTCGGAGCCCTTTGGAGGAAGGATCCTAAAGCTCAGGTCGGTGGGAAGTCTGAATTGATGGAGTGAGACCAAGGATGCAACCCTCACCATGTTCTCTGGAAGGACAGACTGTCTCAGACCCGTGTCCACGGAGGGAGGAGCAGTCACCACGGAGGACTCCTGGGGAGCTGGAGGGCGAGGATTCTTGTGTCTGTCCAGCCATGACAGCGGATGACAGCCGGCCTCCGTCCTTGCCCTCTGCACAGCTCCTGGAAGAAGCAGAGGCTCCTGAGGGCCCTCGCAGAGTGGCCGTCCTCTCCTAGAGCTGGTCCAAGCCCTTTAGCACAGCTGGGGAATGCCCGCCGGTCAGAGGCGGGTGCCGCTGGCGAGCCCCACATAGCAGCSGGAGTAGCTGGGAACTTCAAGGCAGGGTGTGTCCGCGGGCTCCATCCCCTCCCTCAGGAGAGGTCGGCGACTTGGTGACCAGAGCTGACTCGTCCCTGGGCGTGGATCTGCCTTCCTTTTCTACAGCATCGATGCCATCAGCACCAACCAGGCGTGCCAAGTGCCTGGCCTCCCCACAGACGTCCACCTCAGCCGCGCTGGATCGGGACCCCGCCGTCCCCTGGCAGAGCAGCACAGCGAGCGTGGGCATGGGCTCCACGGGCCCTGCCCCCTGGGCCCCGTCCCAAGCTCCTGGATACCAGAACAATGGCATCGCAAACTGAAGATCAGCGTGGGCATCAGGGCTGGGCAGCACCCTGCGGAGTCAGGCCAGAGCTCCCCAGGATTTGGGACCTGCACTGGGCCCATGGTGCCACATCCAGGAAGAGCCTGGGGGTGGCAGTGGGACTGGCCCTTTTCACTGGCTTGAGAATCTGCCCTCCTCGCTCTGTGGCTCTGGCCTGGTGGGTTGGCGATCCTGGTTTCCAGGGCAGGGGGGGGTCTTCCAGGGAACGCCTCAGAATCCCAAGTCCCAGCCTCCAGGGGTGGGTGTCAGCCCCTGGGGCGAGTGTCAGTGGGCAAACAGGAAAACGCGGTTCCTGGTGAGGTCGGCCAAGCTCCATCGCCCGGAGGTGCCAGGTGGCTGCTACATAATGTGGGCAGAGGGGAGCCTGTCTGAACCTGGGGAGTCCCGGAGGCACGCTTTGCTGTCCCCAGTCCTGGCGGGGACTGAGGCACGTGTGCAGCAAGTGTAGTCTGATCTGATGAGGGCAGGTCACCAGGGCCCCGAGCACTTGGTGGATGCAATTGGGTCTCCCCACCGGGGAGGGTGGCTGGCTGGGAGCGGGGAGAAGGGGGTGATGGTCACCCTCCACACCGCCGTGGCCGCCCGGAACTGTGGTTTCCCCACCACCATACTGATTCCTCACAGGGGCTGTCTGTCGCTGGCCTCCTCTTGACGGCCTCATTGTGAAGAACCAGCAGCACAGCACAGCCGCGCACCTGCAATGGCCCTGGGGACACTCACCTCTCGGCCTCATCCCTGACCTCAGCTATGGGCTGGGGACAGTCCCCTGTGGTGTCAAGCACCAGCTCAATGCACATTCTAGTTGGGGCTCAGTATAACTGATGGGTACAGTGGGGGGGGGGGCGGGTGCCCTGGATGGCTGAGGGCCACCCTACACCGATCCATCCTCAGGAAAGGACAATCTGTGGGACATTTGAACACTTCTGGGTGGCCACGGCATAACTGTACCCCAGTTGCCTATAACTGACCTCAATAATCCACCCGTCATAGCCCTTCTTTCTTCTGCCCACTCTAACCCTTGTCCTGTCCCTGGGTCACCTCCCAAACTCCCTGCAAAGGACATCCCGGCCTCAGGCCTGCTCTGGGGGGTGACCAAGCTTCTTCCAAACCCTCTTCTGTTCTAATCTCCTTCCAGAGGCGGCGCTTCCCACAAGCCGTCACCCCAACTAGAAACCCACACGCGGCCTCAGCACCCGCGTGTCCCCACGCCTTTCTTGCCCTCACCGGGACTGTCCCCTCCTGCTCRCCCTGACTGCTCCCGGCCAGCATCCTGCAGCTGGTGAGGAACCCAAAAGCAAGTGGCCTCAGGGCTCTGTCTCACCGGTGCCCCGCCCACCCGCCTGGGGTCAGAGGGCCWCAGCGCTGAGCTCCAGAAGCCAAGGTCTGAGCCCAGGGCCCGTGGGGAGGTCCCCAAACACTGAGACAGACTGTCTCAGACCCAAACACTCTTAGGAGGACAGAGGGAGGGAGCAGCAGCATCCTGAAGATTTCTGGGCCTCTGGTGACCCCCTGCATAGCCAGGGTGGTGGGCACTCACCCAGCAGGGCACCGTGAAGCCCCATTCTGTCCCCTCCAGTAATCTTCGCTGTGACAGAGAACTCAAGACTGAAGGAGCCGTCCAAGGTCAGAGCAGCAACTGTAGAGCTGGGACCTAAATCCACTGTCCTCCAGGGCCGGGGCTCCCTCCCCAGAACAGAGGGCAAGTGTATTAAGATAAGGATTGAATGCCCACGAGTTTTTTTAAATTGTCTTTAATAATTTTTTGCCTCATTTACCAGATAAATCATCTAAATAAATAGATGCTATACAGTCTCTTACCAATATCAGTACAAAAATAAAACTGCGCTCCGCACCCGCTCYGACCCTCCCCAGCCGCACCATCAGGAAGGCGCGCCCTGGGAGCCGATGCCCGGTCCTCGAGTACATTCATGTCGTCTGAACAAAGCTCGAAGCTCATCTGTGCAAAGGACGCGTTCTTGGCTGAGACCTGGTGGCCACATCTGGCCATTTGTAAAGCAAAAGCTACACGGGCTTCCGTTCAGATGCCTAGCGCCTTCCCGGAGGAGGCGGCGAGGGACATTGGCAAAGGGGTTACCGTCCTGTCAGAATGATAAGGTTCCGTGCCAGGGGTGGGTGGGACATTCCACCCCGCTCCATGGCGACAGTAAAGTACCAACAGGCCTCTACATTCAAAAGGGGCTGGGGAGAGGCAGGCGGCCCGTGTTCCCCAGCCTGAGGGTACTGGCCTTCCGGGGAGCTGTGGGGCGGGAGGTCACTGTCCACCTGGTCTTCTCTCACCTGACCCTAGCTGGGACACTCAGGGCTGGGGGGAGGCCTGTATGGCCAAACCCAACCCCTCACAAAGGTCACCTGTCAGGGCTGAAAAAGATCCTAACTGCCTGAGTGGCTCTCCCCAGGGAGCCGCTCTCAGGGTTCACAGCCTCCGGCTGCCCTGAGGTGGACATCTCAAGACCGTCACTCCAGGGCCAGGCCTGGACCTCACCCTCTGAGCCACAGGGTTCCCTGTGGGCCACAAAGGTCTGAGGAAGAGGAGATGCATGTTCTGCTGCTGCAGACAGAAACACAGCTGCCTCACCCACCAGGAAAAAAAAAAAAAAAAGCAAAAAACCAAAAAAACCCACCCCCCCCAGGGCCACAGGCTGGCAAATTTGACAGCTGAGGACCCCCAGGAAGCAGGAAGAGGGCCTGTGTCTCCTGAGGGGGCGGGGTGTGTCTTCTACTAGAAGCTGTGGCCCTGTCCCAGAGCCATGGTCCAGCAGTCAGCTGGAGAGGACCCCTCGCTGACCCGGCCTCGCCCTCCACCTCCCGGGCTGGGAGCCCCTGCCCTGAAGAGCCCCTGCCCCAGGCTTCTCCTCTTCTCAGGGTCGTGCAGCTGAAGCCCCTTCCCTTCCCGGGCCCACCCCACATGCTCATCTAGATCCCATTCCCTGGGCTGGGGTGAATCAGGTCACCTATTGTGACTGTCCCCCAATGGAAGCACTGAATTGATCCCGGGCAACGAGAATTAGAGAGAGGGAGAAGGAGCTGGGAATTGGGAATCTTGCCAACAAAGCATCCCAAAAAGGAAAAGGGTGCCTGCTGTCTTTGGTTTGGGAACTGGGGAGGAGTCTGGGGGAAAGAGTCACCCTGCCCTTGTCCTCACGAAGACCTAATGACCTTCTGAGGACAGGCACAGAGTCAGGGGACAGGGCTGAGCTCCCAGCCACAATGGCTCTACTGTGTTCAGGTTACCCCGACTCTGACCGGGGTGGAAGGGTGGGGGAGTGGACCTGCTGGCCCTGCTCCCCAGGACCCCTGACTCCATCTGGCCTTCTCTCTGGGACAGGGCTGGGATGAGGGAGCAGGGAAGCCACCAGCCCSCAGGGAACCTTGGGGCAGACCAGAGGCCAAGCATCCCTCCTCCTGGCAGACACAACCTCGCCAGGGCGCTAGGCTTGTGCACAGCCTGAACTACCCTCCCCTGCGGCTGGACCCCCACAGGAAACAAGGCCAGTCCCTGCCGTGCTATTTAGGTCTGGTGGGAGGACACAGAATGAAGTGGAAAGGGGTCCAGGAGACAAGGGCTGCCCTGAGAAAGTGGGACACCCCCGCCCTTCCTGCCTGCCCACACCCACACCATGCTTGGGGTCGGCTGAGCTGGAGGGGAGGGCAGAAAAAGGGGAGTTGGAAGGGCTGAAAAGTCACCTGAGTCAGAAAGGACAAGAATCCCTGTGGGAGGAAGGACAGGTCACAAGTGTCTTGGAGTCTATGCAGATGTGTCAGCACAACTGGGCAGATGCTTGCACACCTGCTGCTTGGCCAGGCACAACCAGGAAGCCACATCTGCATGCCTGGAGCAGCAGATGCYGCCATGCTCGTGGCCAGAACCTTGTTCTCGCTGACAGCTGCGAGCAAATGGAGCTGGAACAGGTCCTGTCCCATGACCTGGAACAGGTCCTATCGCGTGACCTGTGCAAGGTGGTGGGTTGCCGTGGCGAGTTCTTTTGTGCTGTGAATTGTACTAAGTTCACCTGGCCAGGGTTTCTAAAGGAGGCATGTGAGGCCCTCGTGGACACTCAGGGCACATGTGATGTACACAAGGGGCATCGTGCACGCTGTGCCGCTAGGTGTGCACATATTTCCACACGAGCCAGGAGATGGGGCAGGATCTCTCAGCAGAGGGAGCCCAGAGGGCAGCCTCCTCCCTGGGAAGGAGTCTGTGACTCTACCTCAGACCCTCCCTCCAGCCCCTTCTCCCTGACCTGGGCCCTGGGGTGAGAGCAGCCTCCGAGCCCCACCAAAGCTGGAGGGGAAAGATCAAAACCAACACCCAAGCCCAAGAAAGGGGTGGGAGGGCCAGACAACCAGACAGGCTGGGGGCTGCCAGGTGGGGCCCTGCCTCCCAGGGCTCCTTTCCCTCCTGGAACCAGCAGCTGCAAGGCAAGGCAGTCAGCTGCAGAAGCAGCCTGAGCAGGTGGCCCTGTCCCCATCAGCCTGGAGATGGGACCCTAAACAGAGCAACACCAACCTTCCCAACCCAGCCCTAAGGSCTCTCTGCAAACGCCCTTCACAGAGAAGGGCAGGGTGGTGGGAGGTTGTGGGGCCATCCCCACTTCTTCTGCTTGGTGTTTTTTTTAAATAAAATAATTACCCTGCCCCAACCCCTCCCTGTCTCGGGAGTTCCCCACCCCAAGCCCCAAAGGAAACAGCGAAGAACGGTGGAAACGGTGATTCAGAGCCTCTCGCTGCGGTCTCGGAAGAAGCCYTCTGCTGCCTGGGCCTCTCGAAAGGTGACGGTGATGGAGTTGGCGGTGATGTCTGTCACGGTCACCTCACTTGAGGGAAGCACAGGTGTCCAGGGAGGGGGCCCATCTGCCAGTTCTGCATCTGCTGCAGCCACAGGACAAAGACAGGGACAGAGGACAGGTTGGCAGGGGGAACGGCAGCAGCATGCAGACCCCTCCCAACTCCAGGTCCTTCCCATGGGACCTACCACCGGTCCCCCAAGAGGGTGCCGTTCCCCCCCAGTCCCTGGCAGACAGAGTCTTCCATAGTGGGTTGMCAGCTCTGGCCAGGGGTCAGGCTCAAGTCAGTCCCCACAGTCCCGACTGGCTGTGTGGCCAACCAGGTCCTCGAGGCTTGGGTCAACTGGACCTGGTGGCCTCCAAGGACGCTGCAGATCTGAGGCCCAGGGCCGGGCTGTCTTACCCTCCTCAGGGGGCTGCTCTGCGGGCTCCCACTGGCCCGCCGCCTGCAGGTCATCCGAGGCCGGTGTCTCCTGCAGGGAGAGCTCCCGTCGATGGCTGTGACTCTCCAGGTGGGACCCGCGGGGCGGGAACTTCTTGCGCGAGAGCCGCAGATACTTGTGGGCCTTGCGGGGCTTGCAGAGCGGGAAGGGCAGGCCGGGCACCAAGGGGCCCTTGTCCACCAGCTCAGGCGCCCCCGCCTTGACCACCCCCTCGGGGCTCCCGCTGCCGAGTGGGCACGCGAGAGAGAAGCAGAGCTTCTCCTTGCCCTTGGCCTTGTGGGAGCTCCGCAGGTCCATGCTGTAGAGCCGCTGCGGGGGCAAGCCAGGGCGCGGGTCAGCCCCGCCTCCYGTCCGCTGCCACCTTCGCCTTCGCTAGAGCCCTGGCCCCTGGCGCCCGGTGCCCGCCGCTCCACGCCCCCCACAGCTGGCCAGAGCCGCAGAGCCTCGGCCCCCTGCCCGGCCCTATGGAGGGGTGCGGACAGACCAAGGACGACAACCACGGGGTGGGGGTGGGGGTGGGGGTGGGGGCGGCACACGGGGAAAGGAAACCCAACCGGGGGAGCATCGATCGCCTACTCCACGCCAGGCCTGGGTCCAGCCACCAGAAAAAAATTGTTTTTGAAGTGGCTTCTGAAGCACTTTAGGTTCTAGGAGAATCGCTGCTGCACACCACCCTCAGCTGGAGCAGCCAGCTCCCCGGAGTGGGTTCTTGTGGCAGCTAGGCTGCGGGGACAGGCAGCACAACCTGCCCCCAGCTGAAGGGACAGCATGCTGCCCCTCAGCTCTGTAGGGCCCAGGCCTCTGCCAACCTGCCTCACCAAGGAGCAGGGTGCGGCGGGGGCTTCCTACACCAAAGGCCCCAGTTCTGAGATGGGGGATCTGTCTCCCTGCCTTTGGGGAGAATTTAAGTCTCGAAGAAAGGAAGATACGGGATCTCCCCCCATCACTCTGGTAYAGTACCTTCACCTGTCACCTGTCACCAGAGGCTGAGGGCTCCTAGAACAGCAGGAAGGATGGGGCCGATGGAGTCACAACCCAAGTTGGAGGCGGTGATGACACAWGTGGCCTCCACTCAGTCCAATCTCCTAATCCCGTCCCTTGCCCTGGGTGCGGCTGGGGCGGAAGGAAGCAGGGCCGAACCCAGAGGGGCCTGGGAAACTAGAGCGGGAGCTAGTCCCACCGCCGCCCTGGGAGCCTCCCCTACTGTCGGCAAGGCCGGCTTTCAGTGCGATGCCACCTCTCCATGCGAGAACAGGGGGCTCCAGGCCAGAGCTCGGTTCTCACCTGCTGTGTGACTCCAGGTCAACCACAGGCCTCCCTGAGCCTCAGCTACTTCAACAGCAAAGCGGTGAGGAGACCTCAGTGGACAGCCTCTGACAATACCTGCTTCCCACCTTCATGCCATCGGTGGTCCCTTCTCACAAGAAACACTGCTGCGTGTGACTTCCTGGGCCTGGTCACAAAGACACAGTGGCTTCTTCCTTGCTCTTGGATCACCCACGTGGGGAAGCGAGTGGCGGTACCGTGAGGGCTCACACTGCCCGGCAGGGCCTCATGGCAGGAGCTGCCCTAGAACGACTGGCACGGATCCTGGGCCTGGAGCAGCCCCAGCCCAGCCCAGGCATCTGACCTGGTCCCCTGACTACCTAATCAGGACCACTAAAGAACCGGCTAAAGTGCTCCCAAATTCCTGATCCACTGAAACTATGTGATGATGAGTTCARTGGTTTAGGTTGCTAAGTTGGGGTGACATGTTATAGATTTGCCATGGATAACTAATACACCTACCCGGCAGGTTTGGCACRCAGAGGAAATGTGGCCATTTGTGAAGCACCAGATACACACCCCACATGCAGATCTCTGGCAAATGTGACTTTCCATCCTGGGACTCAATTCACATCAAACACCATGGATCACCCCCCACAGGAAGGAGGCTGTCACTCGCCAAGAAAGCCCCAGGTGATCCATAACCTCCACACTGCACGCGGACCAGGGAGCCTTGTGCTTTGATTCAGACACAGGGGTGGGGGTGGCGGGCGCTTGTGAAATTAAAGCAGGTGTTTTCATGCTCACAGCGAGAACCCAGCACCGAGAACCTCCGCAGCTTGCCCAGGACACACAGCTGCACCTCAAGCCCCATTTGCTTTTCATGCTCCCWGACCTAAGATGTAGGTGTCCAGGGTATCAGAGCCCCGCCTCTCAGAGGACTCAAAAGGAGTCCCCARGGGTTTCTTCCTACTCAAGAAGGACACCTTTCTAGGAGCTGGTGCTCCACAGCTGGTCCACACACAAAGGGCCTCTCCTTCCCAGGTTCTGGAAGTCTAGCCTCCATGTCCCCTAACCGCCAGAGTCTGTGTTTCTGAGGCTCTTAAATATTACAATTTTCTGTTTGGGGATTTTGAGCATCATAGGCTTATTTATGAGATTCTAAGCTTTCAAACATCCTAGGACTAAGATCAGCACGGTGGCGCACGCCTATCATCCTAGCAGCTTGGGAGGCTGAGGCAGGAGGATCTTGAGTTTAAAGCCAGCCTCAGCAAAAACAAGGGACCTTAGTACCTTGCTTACAACTCAGTGAGACCCTGTCTCTAAATGAAATGCAAAATAGGGCTGGGGATGTGGCTCAGTGGTCGACTGCCCCTAAATTCAATCCCAAGTATCCCTCCAAAAAAAAAATCCTAGGCCTGTATTAGCCATGTGGCCCCTCCTCCCACAAGATGACCACGGGGGTCATCTTTCCTCAGTTCCTGCTCCATGTTTGGGCTTTCCCCTTCTGTGGAAAATCACCCACTGAGTGTCCCACCCCACAGTGCCCAGATGGTACCAGGGGCGGGCAAGTGAACCAGTTCAACCAGCCAATGCAGATGCTCTCAGGGGGGTGAGGGGAGGCAGGGGCCTGGGTAGGGCAGGGGAGGAGGCGGCCCTGCGGCAGCCGGGTTACCTGCAGCAGAAGCCGCTTGGGTTTCGGGCCTCTCTTCCTATACCCAGAMGCTCGGTCTCTCTCCTCCCTAGATGCAAGGCAAGTGGCAGAAGAAAAGGAAACACTGGTGACATCTAAGGGAAAGGAAGGTGTCTGCTTCATCCCCTCCCCTGTCTGTCGGGATGGAGACCCCCCCCAGCATCCCAAAGTCCTCCAAGGAAGGCTCTCCTGGGGCCGTAACAATGGTCAGGTATCCACTTTCCAGGGCCTGGACTTCCCATCCAATAACGGGAAGGGGACTGTCTGTCACTGATGTGGGGCTCTCCRAGGCTCTCCAAACGCGTGAGTCCTCCCTGAGCTCCAGGGCCAGCGCAAATGCCCTGCTGTGCATGCGGTGGGGACCTCCAAGGTGCAATTGTCGCTCTTAGAGGAGCTGCGTAGAAACCTGCCAACCCAATGTGCCTTGAATGTCCCTGGGGGGCTGGGGAGAGTGGCGAGTCCTGCCCGCTGGCCTGACTTGAGATCCTTAGGAACCTGAACTGAGGAAGGCTGCACCATCTCATCAGGGTGGGGAGGAAACCCAGCTGTAGGGTGTCTGCCGATGGCTCTCATGGTGCCCCCCCAGGCACAGGCTGAGGTGCTACAAAGTCACACTCGACACAAGAGACACCATGACCAGAGGCTGCAAASCACCAGGCCAAAGTAGGCAGCTCCAGGCCTCTGCCTCCTGGTCACTGGTTCAACTCACTTCCTGTGGCCCCCACTATGGAGGCYGGGAAGACAGCAGAGAATGTGGGGGTGGAGTTAACCGCCCCACACCCCGCCCCCCCCTGGCTGGATGGCCTGGGCCAGTCTCAGTATGAGCTCAGCACAAAGCAGTGAATCCACGGCCTCTGTTKAAATGTCGGTCACCCTCCCGGCGGAACCTGGCACCCTCTGGACACGGGTCTCGGGACAGCCAAGAAAGGCACTTTGCAGTCCCACCCGGGCCTTCACCCCCCCATGGCTCGCCTGGCCACACGCCAAGGTGGTCCACAGGATTCTCCCAAGTGGCACACCCTGTTGGACTAAGGCCCCACCAAGCACCCCGGAGGAAGAAAGAAGCTGGGGACGGGACACCCTGGATTTTAAAGGAAAGAACAATAAAAGCGCGTCCTTTGAATCWGCAGCCATGGAGACTGTGGGAGAAGCAGTGAGCGCAGTGAGGAGCTGCCGCCTGCCCCRTGGCCTCGTGCCAGTCTCCAGCCAGAGGCCCAGGACAACCGAAACTCCTCAGAGGCTCAGCCTCCTCATCTGCCACACGAGCCCCTGGTCCCTGCCTCAGGAGGCTGCTGTAAGGGACCACATAAAAAGGATACAGAGACAAGGCCCACACTGCACGGGCCACGCTGGGAGAACCGAGGCTGCCCACCGTGGGCAGGGCTGCTGGGCACAAGGGCCAGATGGCACGCGGAAACCCCGCAGTAGCTGGCAGAAGAGGGGACCCACTTTACCCTGGGGCTCTGCTGGGAGCTGGCCAGGAGGAGGGCCAGAGCTCAGAAGGTCACGCCTCCTCTGGGCTCAGGTGACCTCATCAGACTTCCCTCAGTGGAAGGACAAGCCACTGACAWGCCACTCACACGACTGGCACCTTGGGAGCCACCCCTGTCTGCCTCCCCTGAACACAACGGAGGCCTCGGGCTGGAGCCCCGGGTGCCAGAGCCAAGAGACAATGGCCGGGCAGCTGGARGAAGTGGCAGGCAGAAAAGGAAGGGGACCCGCGTTCTCTGTGCCCACCACCTTCCAACGCCTGGTCAGACACCCCGGTCCTGCCCCCAGCGGCCCCCTGCTCAGGGCCACGCTGCAGCGGGACCCCTAGGAAACCTGGAAGTGGGCCCAGCAGCCGCAGGCCCTTACTTCTCCTCGTAGGCCAGGACCAGGCGGGGGTCCAGGATGTGCTCCTCCGGCTCCCACGTGCTGTACCTGAGAAGAGAAGTAACAGATGAGAGCTGTCCTGCCTCTGCCTGGCCCCACAGATGCCACGGCCACTGTCCCAGGGCCCTCCCTCACCAAGCCTCCAGCCCTTCCTGGTCAGGGGGGGCTGCCACGCAYTCCCAGGGGCTGACCTGTTTGGGCCCCAATGACACCAGAACTCCCCTCCCTCCTGCCTCACCACAATCTGACTGGGTCCTACTCTGGAGAGACCCCACATTCACCCAAGGCCCTTGATGCCTGGAAGACAGCAGGTYCCTGTGTCCCAGGAAACTGGGGGAMACTCTTACTATGACAGTGTGGGGGCTCTGGAGCCACCTGGCCAGGGTTCAAGTTCCAGTTCTGCCACAGCTAGCTGGGCAGCCCCGAGCCATTTACTCAACAGCTCTGTGTCTCAGCGTCCCCCTCTGTAAAGGGCTCTTGTGCTGATAAAATGTTCTACTTAAGTGTCCAGAGCCAGTAGCAGGTGGGGAGCGCTCTGCGGGTGTCTCCCAGTGTTTACCAGCACCACGGGTTCYTCCCCAGCCTTCCAGCCCAGCCTGCGGGGTCACTGCTCCTTCCTGCCTCGGGCACCTGAGCCATGGAGACCAGGCCTTCACATAAGTGCCCTAATCTCTGGGCCTGGCACCCCACAGGTATCTGTAAGTATCTATAACTCTGGTGCRGTGCTCCCATAGTTGACCTCAGCACCCCCAAGAGCCGAGGGACAGAGGGGTGACAGCACCGCTCCCCAGAGCTCTGCCCTGATCAGGCCTGGCTGGGGACAATGCCACAGGTGCCTTCCACCTTCTTTTAACTACTCAGCACCAGCCTCCTGCAGTACAGCCTTTTTGTTTAAATAATTTCATTTTAAAAGCAAACTTTTATGACTTCCATATGGAAAAACCAGTATCACTCATCATAAAGAGATGTAAGTATAAAACWGTTTTTAGGGTGGGGGTGTCCTCAGTGTATACCACTTGCCTAGCATGTGTGAAGGCACTGGGTTCCATCCTCAGCACCACATATGAATGAATAAATAAATAAAATTTAAAAATATACATATGTATGAGCCACATGCCTGTAATCTGGGCAATAGGAGGCTGAGGCAGGAGGATCACAAGTATCAGGTCAGCCTGGGCAACTTAGTAAGACTGTTCTGGGGCTAAAGTTGTACTCAGTGGTAGAGCACTTGCCCAGCAGGTGTGAGGCACTGGGTTTCATCCTCAGCACAACATAAAAATAAATAAATAAATGTGTTTTGTCATCTACAACTAAAAATATTAAAAAAAAAAAACTGTCTCAAAAATGTATTTTTTTTAAATGGGCTGGGACTATAGCTTGGAGGTAGACTGCCTCCTGGCTCCAATCTCCAGTACTACAAAAAGGTCTGTACACATGAGTGCATATAAATCCCTATGTAAAATACCTGTGTATCTAAGTATACAAAGGTAAAGACACAGGCAACAAATGTGTCTAGACCAAAACAAAGCAAAGTTCCACGATCTCGGCAAGAGGCCTTGCTGGGTGAGAAGGCAAGTAACTGGGGAGCTTCCAGAGGCAGAAGAGGCAGGCAGAGCCCCTGCAACTGCAACCTCCCAGGKTAACCTATCAGAATACTTATTTACTTTTCTTCTTTATTTGTTCTAATCTCAGGATATTTAACAGTAGACCAGGGTTGGGCAGCAAGACATCCCAAGACAGAAAGCACTCCTCCTCCTTCCACCCATCTTCCCTCCCACGTACTCCACCATCAGGCCTGGTGCAGCCTGGCCTGGCTTCTGTCATCTGTGCTGTGCCCCACCTCTGGGTGCTCTGTCCCTGCAGTGAGCCAAGCCAAGCTTCCCAGGCTTTAGGGAATGGCCCTCCTCCCAGCAGGCCCAAGTTTAGGTCTGAGATGAATCCAGCAGGGCCTGGCCCAGGCCCAGCACCTGGCCTGGGAGTGGCWGTGGAGGCCCCACATAGTTCTGTGCATCCTGCAGGAAGCCCAAGGACCCAAAGGCTGGTGCAGACTGTGCCCTCCTCCCCCCAGGAAAGGTTGGCTCTCTCAATGAATCTAGTAAGGAGGGGGATCCTGGTTCCTCCTGGGTGGGCGGGACTCACCTCTCTCTAACTGCTGCCCTTCCTCTCTACCCAGCCCACCTGCCATGGCAGGTTCATTCTTGCTGATGTAGCTGCTCTGTGATTGCTGGTAAGTCCCTACCCTTCTCTTGACCTCAATTTCCTCATCTTAAAGAAAAACCACCCCCACCCCCTCAGTGACAGCTGGTGCACCAACAACCGCCAGGAACTTGTCCCTTCTTCACAGCACTCTACCCCATTTTGCAGATGAAGAAATGAGACACAGAAGTTAAGCAGCTTGCGGGGGATCAAGAGCGGGTGAGTGGCCAGTCTGTGCTTGGAACTCAGTTCCACTCCCAGTCGTCCTCTACCTTAGGATGCCTCACARGACACCGTGTCTGGCTCCTCACTCGCTGACATCCCTGAGAGAGTAGCACTGCCTGTCTGACCCTGGTCCTCGGTRTCTAACCAGGGCCTGGCACACTGGTGCACAGGACAGGGCGGCCAGATTGAGAGCAGGATGCTTTCCGGTGTGGGTGGGCGGCTCCGGGCTTGGGGCTGGATGGGGCGGGCCTTCAGAGGCACCTGGGCCCCTCGGGCCCCCTGGCTCCCGAACCCAGCGGAGCGCCCCGCGCACTAGGGGGGCCAGGAGGCTGCAGGGTGGGCAGGAGCTTGGATGACAGGCGGGCCCAGGTAGGCTGGGCGCCAGCGCGCGGCCGACCCGGGACATCCTCAGGGCCGCGGGTCTGCGACCATTGGCTGCCCCGGCTGCCGGGAGCGAGCGCCCCGCGCTGGCGGGACAGCGAAGTGGAGGGACGTGGGGCGCCCCGCCCCTCACAGCAGGGCCGCGCGCACGCACGGTCACCCGGCCAACCAAGGCGGGCGGGGGCGGGGACGGCGCAGCGGCTCCGAGATAAACACGGCCACGTGACCCCGCCCCGCCCCCAGCCCCGGTAAACAAGCCACCGCCGCGCGCCCGCCGCCGCCCCCAAGTGAGCTCCATCCTTAGGCGATACAGGCTCCTCCTGGAAGAGCGGGCGTTAGCGAGGCAGGTTGCCCCAAGTCCCAGCAAGCCTCACCCGTACATGGAGGCGGCGCTGCCGAGCTGTGGCGCAGCTTGGGGCGGGGGCGAGCCACCCCAGGTGCCATGCAGAGCCAGGCCAGCAGCAGCGCCCCTCTAACTGTCCTGAGTGAGAAGCCTCGGTGCAGACTGCCGGGTCCCGCCTTGGGGGCAGGTGACTTGGTCTGACTTCCATCCCTCTGGGGCCTCATCCTAAAGTGGGGCTCTCAATAAATAATCCCTTCGCTTAGGGCTGTGAAGATTCGCTGTGTTAAGCCACATAACGCACTTAGATCAGTGTGGAACTCGGTAAGTGCAAATAAGCAGTAATGAAATCAATTTCAAAAAACCTAGAGGGCCCAAGTCTGCCAGGGTGGGAACCCAGGGCTCTGCTGCTGCTGTCCAACCCCAGCTGTGGAGGAGGAATACCTCTTACTCTGTGGCTAGAAGCCATTAGTGATTGTCTTGGTCTTCAGCAGGGGCCTTATTCTACAGATGGGGAAATGGAAGCACAGAGAGATTGAGGGTTTTATCCTGGGTCACACAGCTGGTGAAACTACAAAAAACTACTATTTTTCTAAGGTAAATGGTCTGGCCCCAAAGCCTGAGCACATCCCATTGAACTGGCCAAAAGGCCAACAGACAAGAGAGACTCCTGGCTTGGTCACCTTGGGTGGAGCTGGCTGTGTATTACAGCTGGTGGGTCCACAAGCCTTGGGATCCAGCAGCCTGAAATTCAAATTTTCCCAGCTGACTCTGCAACAGCTCTTTGCTGGGGCTTCTGTCTCTCCATCTATGAAATGGAGGACTCTAGGGCAACTGATGGGCCAATGTCTGGCTCCTAATGGGAGTTTTTTGATTGGCAGTTTGATGACTGCTGTAATCACTGATGTTACTATTAAAGTTCCACGGAGCCAGGCCTTCCTAAAAGATATAGTAGCATTCACAAGTGGGAAAGAAAGGAAAGCATCTARTATGTGGGGGTAGCAGGGTACTGGGAAGGATGAAATGAGAGTGGAGTACCTAGGGGTTCTCCAGGGTGCAGAGACCACCATAAACCTCCCAAAGGGCATGAGTTACTTTGACATCCTCTGCCTTGTGCTCCCAACCCCTTCCTGTGCCATTTTGCTGCATAAGAAGCAGGAGCCCTGTACAGTGGTGTGGCGCACACCTGTAATCCCAGCAATTTAGGAGGCTGAAGCAGGAGGATTGCAAATTCAAAGCCAGCCTCAACAACTTAGCCTTAGCCTAAGTGACTCAGTGATACCCTGACTCAAAATAATATTAACAAAAGGGTTGGGGATGTAGCTCAGTGGTAAAGTGCCCTGGGTTCAATCTCTGATACCCAAAACAAAACAAGCCAAAAAAGCAGCAGCAGCAAGAGAGCCCCTCTGACATATCTGCTGGGGAAGGGGACACTCATTGTCCTACTCCTGGGGACCAAAAAAGGCATAGAAAGCTCCAATGGAGCCTGGCTCAGAGTGAGTACAGTTTGGGCTGGGTATGGTGGCCCATGCCTGTAAACCTAGCAACACAGGAGGTTGAGGCAGGAGGACTGAAGTTCAAGGTAAGCCTGGGCATCTTAGTGAGACCCTCTCTCAGAAACTAAAAGGGCTGGGATGTAGCTCAGTGGGAGAGCACTCTTGGGTTCAACTCCCAGTACCACAAAATCAATTACAGTTTGCTTATGGTTAATTGTAATTAACAGAAGTCTCCTTGCCCAGAGTGAGGACAGTGGCCACCAAGCAGGAGGACCTGAACCACACACCCCCGCCTGCCCAAGGCTGGCACTGCCCAGCCAAGGCTCCTGCCCAGGGGAATAGTCTGCCAGCTCCATCCCACCACCTTTCTTAGTCTCTGTTGCAGGCACCCTCCCCCCCAGGAAGGGAGACCCCTGCTCTCCTGCCTCTACCCTGATTGAGCCGCTTTCTTCTCCCAAGTGAGGTGGGGATGACTGGCAGTACCTGCCTCGCGCAGGTGGCACCAGTGATGGTGGGAAGTGGGTAGCACACTGCTTGGGGTTGGCAATTATAGTCTTGGATGACCTCCCCTCTMTGGGCCTCAGTATCCTTATCTGAAAAATGAGCTCGTTAGAATGGAATCCCCTAGTTCGTTTCCTAGGTGGGGCACCTTCCAAGCCTACCCACCTAACTCTGTACCAACTGCAGACATCCCCACTAAAAGCGGGTTGAGCCTGGCACCCTGCAGTTTTTGCCCTTTGTCGATCCTCCTAACAATCCACCCAAAGGACGGTTTATGGCTCCCATGTGAAGACCAGAAAGCAGACGCCCTGCCCTGCTGGGACCTGCCCAAGGGCTCACAACTGTCCACTGTGCAGCCAGGAATCCAGTACCAAGGAGAGGGGACAGGCATAAGGTACCCCCTGGGTCATCTGGTCAAACAGGGCTTCCAGAGCTCCACTGGGGTCACAAGAGGGCCCACGTGACGTCTCAGCACCTTAAGAAAAAAGTGGGCCAGGGACATAGGCCCACAGAAACAGCCAGGGCCTCTGCTCTCTGGCTAGCTCCCTCCTCCTGACTGAGCTCTGAGGGGCGGGCAGATGTWTTGGTCTTTAGGATAGATCGATGAAAGTGGGAGAGAAGGAACTTTTCATTAATAGGGTCTCCGATTAGAGAAGGAAATCTATCAAAAGCTGTAGTCAGGAGGACAAACAGCAAAGAGTGTCTGGAAGGCCAAAAAGCCAGAAAGCCCCGCCCACTGCCATTCCSGAGAGCTGGGGGAGGGGAGGAAGGGCTGAAGAGCCCCTCCACTGGAGCCAGAATCCACCTGTGGCCAGTGGGGGAGGGGGTCCTCCCAAAGCTCCAGGCGTATTTGGAAGGAAGGACTGAGGAGTGTATTATCTACTTGCTGGTCACCAGCTGTCATCAGGATGCTGTGGTGGCCCAGTCCTTTCCCCTTACGAGGCAGAGCTGCCGGCGAGAGGACTATTGAGCCCATTTCACAAAGAGGGAAGCTGAGGCCCCGCGGGGCTGTCTCCCCCTCTGCGGCCTCCCACCTCCCTCCCAGAAAGCCTGCAGGGCCAAACACCACGCCCCCCTTTCTACACACACCAGGTGAGCAGGAAGCCCCAGGTGCGGACAGCAGGTGGGAGAGGGGGTTTCCAGGAGTCGGTCTGCAGGAGGCAGGCCGAGGGCGGGGCACCCCAGACCAATGGGAGGCCCCATGGCTTGCTCTTCCCTCCCCCAACAATTCCCTGCTGGGAGGTGATTGGCTGGTGGGCGGGCTCCTGATTGGGCTTCAGCAGGAGAGGCGGAGCACGCGGGGGAGGTCTTAGGCCCAGCTCTCCGGACCCCCACTGTGGGATGGGAGGGTTGGGGCAGCAAGGAATCTGACCTGAAAATGGGGAGGACTGTTCAAGTCCCAACTGTGCCTCTACTTGCTGTGTGACCTTTTTCTGAGCCAGTTGCTCATCTCGGAAGCACAGATGCCGGGTCTTCACTCCCAGTTACCAGGAGAAGCCCAACACTGAGAGGGCAGCACAACAGGAGCTGGACCCCCACCTCAGGCACCTGTGCTCTGACCCCTGAAGGCGGCGGTGGAGGGGAAACTGATGATTTAGTCAGGGTCAGCTGCCCAGTCACAAAGGCAGCCTACGCTAAAAGCTAGGCAGGGGAGGGGGCACAAAGGGCGGAGGGATGGACAGGTAGACACAAACGAAGGAGCCTTACTTTGGGGGCCATCCTTTCCACTTCACCAGATATTCCACTTTGCCCTGGGAAGAGAGAGAAACAGGAATAGTGAGACAAACGCTTGCCCCAACCTGTCAGGACAGTCAAGTCTCAAATGGCTTTGGAAAGGATCTTGGTCCCAGATACCCTCTGCAAACAGCTGCGCTTTGACACACAAATACAACCCGGGGACCCTCCACTAGATCCCTACCAAYCCAGAGACCCCCAAATGCCCCTGGGGCCAAAGCTCAGAGCTCTCCTCACACATGGGGACATGCATGTATGGCCAGAGATCCACAATGGCCAGAATCTCAGAGTCAAATTCATGACAACTGGAAGACTTTCCCAATGGCTCTGGCCCTATCAGCTGAGTCTGTGCAAGAAGGACCCCAGAGAAGGCTGACACACTCTCCACCTTCAGCAAGGCAGTAGATCCTTCCAATTATTAGGAAATAGAGCCAGTTCCTCCTCCCTTCTTCACAAGGGACAGGGACTTTTATAAGTGTGCAGTCCAAGCACATTGACTGGGCAAAGCTCCTCTCAACCACAATTTTAAGACCAAGATATGGCACCTCCTCAAAGAGGCCTTCCCTGGCCACCCTCCTGTCACTGTCCTCCCTAGCACCTGGCAGTCCTTCAGCAGAGCACACAGCCCATCCACAGGCATCTGTACTTATTTCCTCATTCATCACTGAGCCTCATCCCCTCTGCCAGAACACCGAAGGTGTCCCTGGGGCTAAGGATGGTGCCTGGAATAGATCTCCAGGGAATGTTTTCTGAGGCTGGCTGACACAGAGGTCCCCATTCTCTCATAACCCCTCCCACTGCCCCCCCCACCAGGTTGTAGAATGGTGTGATGGTTGTACCTGCCTCTGGAAAGYACTGGGCTTTGTAGAATAAATTAATCCTCTTTTAAACCCAGGAAAACCTGGGGGAAGGGAAATAAAGAAGGAGAGGCAGCCCCATTCAGAAGCAAGCTAAACCCCAAGCCCAGTTGGGGAGAGAAAAGAAGTTGACCTTTGGCTCAAGATGCAAGGACTGAGTTTTCATCATGGGAAAAAAAAATGGGCTTGCAAGCAACCACCAGAGCTGCTGCTCCACCTCTTCTCTAACTTGCTGTGGGTCTTAAGCAAGTMACTTTCCCTGCCTAGGGGGAGGAGAACACCAGGAGCCTCCCAAAGGGCATGAGTAAGGAGATGAGAGAAAAGGACAGGGGGGAGTACCAGGAGAGGAACTTTTCCCTATGGAAGCCCCCAGCCCAACCTCCAGTCCCCCTTAGGCAAACGTGCACTGGAAGTGCAGACTCTGGGCCAGGAAAATCAAATTGGTACAAGGTGGGGGGTCCTGAGCAGCATGGACGCCTCTTTAAATTGCAGGGTGTGTGTTTGGTAGGCGTAGGCAGATGGGGAGGAGCTTCGAGGATGCCCCAACGCCGGCGGCGGCTTCAGAGCCCGGGCGGGGCTGGAAGCTGGGGACCCGGGTGGTGTGGGGGCTGGGAAAGAGGGGTGTGCACTGCGGGATAAGGATAGGAAAAGGTCAAAGTCCAGCAGGAAAACTTCCATAGGCTGGAGGACACTTTTTCAAAGCTCCACCTCCAGCTTCAAGGGACTTGTTACTAAGAGTCCACAGTGACGAGTTCGAGACCCAGCTCTGACACTAACGCACCGGGCAAGTCAACCTGGGCCTGCCTCCCCATATTTAAAATGAAAAGGGGATGAGGCAGGACGGCACTCAGAATTCCTATCCTACCCGATCCTCGTCGCAGTTGAGGTGGACTCAGCTGCCCCCAGCAACTTGCGCCAACAACTTTGATTCTACTCGCCCCACACGGTGGCAGGGAAACTGAGGCACCGGCGGGGGAGAGAGGCCCGGCGGCGCAGAGCTGCCTGACCTCCCCCTAGCCCCACGTTCCCCTAGCTCCAGCCTGAAGGGGGTGGTGCTGGGGACCCGAGGCGACTTCTGGGGTCCTGGGGCCGCCCCCGGGCAGCCTCACCTTCCGCACGCGCTTCTTCCGGATGCTCTCCACCGCGAACACCTGCTCACCGATGGCTGACAGCTCCATGTGGGGCGGCGGGCGAGCGGGCCCGGGGCCGGGCCGGGGGCGGAGCTGCGGGACCGCGGCTGCTGCGCGCGATGCTCGGGCCGCCGGGGTCCCCGTCACCCTCGGCGGGGCGCGCACGCGCACGCGCGCACACCCCCTCGCGCTCTCTCACGCCGCCGACGTTCCATTTTTGAACCTGCGCAACGTTTTCCTCCGCGCCAGCAGGCGAGCGCGCGCGGAGAGGGGGCGGGGCGGGAGCGCGCGGGCCTGCGGGCCGCGGGGCTCAACTCGCGCCCTGCGGGTCAGCCCCGCCCCTGGCCTCCGGAGCCCCGCCCCGAAGGAGCCCCGCCCCCCTGGCCCCGCCCCGAGCCCCGCGGAACGGAGCGCTGTGGCCGGGAGCAGCTGGCAGAGCCCCGGCGTGGCGTGGCGGGACTTCGGTGCTGCTGCGCCGTCGGTGCGCGGCGGTCGTCCTCGCGCCCCGGGCAGACCGTGATCTTTAACACCGAGCTGCGAGGCCCAAGGTCTTCCCGATGATTCTGAGGGGCCGAAACGGCCCGGCCCGGCCTGGGCAGAAAGGATAGGGGTGCAGGGCGGGGAGGTCAGCTTTCCCACTCCCACGACGGGGGAGCCTCCGTCCGGCACCGACCCTAGTGCCGTAGGAGTGCGGACCGCACGAGTTTCCCACGCCGTCCGGGCGCCGCTGAACCCAGCTCTCAACTCCCGACTCCGGGGCGGCGTGGCCCGCAGGTCCTAAGCAGGTTCCTCCGCGTGCGACCTGGCGCTGGCCCACCCTACTATTTGCGCCGATAACTTGCGGGTGCAGCACTAGGCGAGGCAACAGCTCGTGACGGGTGAGGCCGCAGGGAAGATAAGGTACACACTGGGACCTGCCACACTGCCCAGCTCTTGGGATGAATGAATATGTGGTCCAGGTCGAACTCACCCCCGACCCATCCCTACCTCTGCTCAAAGACACCTCCATTCATCTTCGCCAAGAACCCGCGATCATCCTTGCCCCTCTGGTTCTTTCCCCATCCCGGCGTSGAGCCCAGGTCCTGCCTCTGACCTCCTCGCGGTGACTCAGAGCTGCACCTCCCTCACCTCCACACCCACTGCCCAGGTTCGCAGCAAAGCCTCTCACCCAACCGCCGGCCCCTCGGGTCTGGGTCTAAGACCCAAAATATGCAGACCTGGCCGAGTCCCCCAGCGCTCAGAAACTTCCCATAGCTCCCCATTCCCTTCGAACACCTGTGCTCAGGCACAGCGAAATAGGTTTACAACTGACTTCATCCAGAGCAGCAAAGGGCAGTAAAATGATGTGTCCAATGTCGGGAAAGAAAGCAACTTTCATCCTGGAATTTTATCTCCGGTGAAAATATGGTTCAAGAATTAAGTAGGAGGCCGGTAGGGAGGAATAGAAGACTTGGATTAGACAAAGGAAAATGAAGGGAAGAGGGGTTGGGAATAGCAAAGAGTAGAATGAATCCGACGTAACTTTCCTATTTCATATAAATGAACATACGATCAGTTTAATTTGCACAACCACAGGAATGGGAAGTTCTACTCCGTGTATGTGTAATACGTCGAAATACACTCTAGTGCCATACATAACCAAAAAGAACAAATATGTTTTTAAAAATTATGTACCCAATGAACGAGGGTGAAGTAGTGACACAAATACAAACGCTAAGAATTCACCCCTCCCTAAGGGAAATTCCAGCGGAGGAACTTCAAAAGCAGAGGAAGATGGCCAGACAGAAGTTCTGGTGCAATACGGAAAGAAAGAACAATGAAGAACATTGATAATGGGAGACAGTAACAATGTCTTCCGGGTAAAAATAGAATTTAAGTCCAAAACAATAGTGGCTTGTAACTCTGGTGAGTGGAGCTACAATGTTCTAAGATCCTTATATTCCTCCGGAGGAAGGGGAGCAATAATGAGTTAAGAATCAAAGTTGGAAATAGAGTAAGATTTACCCAATGAGAGGGGGAAAAACAGAACGAGAAAACCAACCAATTTCAAGGCAGGCAAGAACAGAGAGGCGAAAAAACAAACAAACAAAACAACAACAACAACAACAAAAATAAGATTGGAGGGAGAAATATAAATTCAGATGTCCTAGAATTCAACAATACAAATTAACTAAATGTTGTGGTTTAAATACACAGATTGTCACATTGCATAAAATCCAGCTAGATGCAATTTGCAACAAACATCTGCAAGAGATAATTTCCTAAACTCAAGGATGCTGTGTGGTTGAAACTAAGTGCATGATGGGGAAATATCTTACCAATGCTAACGAAAAGAAGGCTGGTGCCATTATTTTAATATCAGGGGAAAAGCCTCACTTGGGACAAAGTCAGTTCATAATGAAAAGGGTCTAACTCAACAGGAGATTAGAACATTTCCAATTTGCATGCAAGCACCATGGTCTTAAAATACAAGAAATAATAAATGAAGAGATCCACAGGAGGAAACAGACAAATCCACAATTATAAGGGAACATTTAAAAATACTCTGTAATAAATAGAACAAGCAGAAAAACATTTAGTAAGACACAGAAGATTTGAACAACATGTGAAAAAACTTGACTAATGGACTTTTCTAGAATACACTTTTTATAGTGACAATGTAGTCGTCTTTCCAAGACAAGATATTTACCAAAACGGTTCATCTCAAGAAATTCCAAGAGCCTGAAATCATATAAAGAATCATACAAAGTATATTCTCTGACCATAACATATATAAACCAGAGATTAATAACAAAAAATAGGGGCTGCGGTTGTGGCTCAGCGGTAGAGCGCTGGCCTGGCACATATGAAGCACTGGGTTCCATCCTCGGCACCACATAAAAATAAATAAAATAAAGGTATTGTGTCCAACTACAACTAAAAAAAATTAGGAACAATTAGCAAAAAATAATTCAAAAGCACCATATGTTTGGAAATTAAGAAGTAAACTTCAAGGACTGGGAACGTGGCTTAGTGGTAGAGCACTTGCCTGGCATGTGTGAGGCACAGGGCTCGATTCTGAGCACCACATATAAATAAATAAAGGTCCATTGACGACTAAAAAATATTTTTAAAAAAAGAAGTAAATTTCAAAATAACTGATAAACTCAAAAAAGCAAAGCAAAATGTAAATTATATCAAATGAGACTGAAAATACTACATATTAAAAATCATGCGCTAGCTAGTCTCAATGGCTCACACCTGTAATCCCAGTAGCTTCGGAGGATGAGGAAGGAGGATGGCAAATCCAAAGTTTGAGGCCAGACTGGGCGACTCAAGGAGACTCTCAGCAATTTAGCAGGACCTTGACTCAAACAAAACACCCTAAGGAAAATATCAGTAAACCAAGTCTGGCTGTATATAAAAATGATAACACATCATGATAAGATGGGGTCTAGTCCAAAAATGCAAGGTTGGTTTAAGATTTGAAAATCAATGTAATTCAGCACATTAAAAGCTGAGAGGAGGGGGCTGGGGATGTGGCTCAAGCGGTAGCATGCTCACCTGACATGTGCAGGGCGCTGGGTTCGATCCTCAGCACCACATAAAAATAAAAATAAAGATGTTGTGTCCACCGAAAACTAAAAAATAAATATTAAAAAATCTTTCTCTCTCTCTCTCTGCCACCCCTACCACAGAGCATTTGAAATGTGATTAGACCCAGTGAGAGGCAAAATCAAGCACCCATCAGATCTGAAAGACTTCCTACAAATAAAACCCATTGTGAAATGTCTCTTTGATAATTTTATATTT